TGCGTAAATATTATAATCAGCGTTTGGATTAGCAGATAATTCGTAATGAAATGCTAATTTTGTAACACCATCTTTGATACCCATTTTTTGTTTTGTCAGGTCAAAATAAACAAAAGGAAATAAATTTTCAAAATTACTTCTGTTAAGTAATGTTCCACCTTGATAATCATTATTTGCATAAACATATGACATTACATTTCTAAAAACTCTTGTCATATCTGTAGAAGGTTTAAGGTGAATATCTGGGTATTCGTTTCCATTTGCAACTTCCAGGTAACATCTTGATATATTAGCATTATTTGGTAGATTAAAAGTATCGTATAAAAATGGATTTGCTGTTTGAGAATCAATTCTTGCTGTATCAATTCCAAAAACAAATACATGTCTTGGCTTTGAAATAGCATTTGTAATTCTAAAATGTCCTGTCTGATTTTGTAAATTATTTGACCTTTCGACTACTTCATTCAAATATATCCATTTGTAAGGTTTAAGATAATTTTCCATATACAGCTTTTGTCCTTCTGAATTAAACGTAAGTTTTGGAACAAAAAGTTGTAGTCTTGTTATAATAACTCTACAATTATCAGCAGCTTGAAAAATTAAATTAGCATCTTTTTCAATTTCAATATTTAGCTCAATTTTTGTATTTGGAAGTAGCTTGTCTTCCAATGCTTCAAAGAAAGAATATCTATTAAGAGGAATTTCACAGTTTACTGTGACTGATGCTCCCAATAGCGCTTTTCTTGCAGCAAAACCTTTGCTATATTCTGCTCTTCTTTTAGCTAACTGATTTGTGCCACTAACTTCAAATTCTCTTTCCTCTGCTTCTCTTGATGTATCAAGAAAATAAAATTCATTTGCAGCAATACTTTGCGCATATGAAGGACTATACTCAAGTAAACTTTTAATATTTACAACATGATTTGCATAATTACAACTATAAACATCTCGGCCATTTGCTTTGATAGATAATTTTTGTATAAAGGAGTTACTACCATTTACAATTGCGTTATGGTCAGCAACCGCGATGTTTGCTCCATTTGCTAGTTTATTTACTTTAAAATCCATTGATAATCGTGCGTTATACCAATCAAAAGGAGTGGATTCTCCTGTATTATCAGCAATAAATCTAAGATCTGTTTTAGTTTGGTACGCGTTATTGGCTGGGGCTGTATCTAGAGCCTGTTCCAAGTCATAAACAACATCTTCATATCTTTCTAAATATTTTGGATTTCTAAAATTCATTTTATTTTAATAATTATATAATTTTTCTCTTACGTGTTGACCCACCACTAAGAATGGCATTTACTCTTTTATTTATCTCTTTTTGAGTCATTGTTTTGTTTGGAATTGTTTTAACATTTTCATTAATAGTCACTTTTGGTGTTTTATTACTTTTGGTTAGCATTTGCACTATTTTATCACCAACCTTTTTACCAACATGTTCACCAGTTTTTGTTGCAGCTGTTTTTACTGCTTTTTCAACACCTTTTTTAGCAGCTTTTTTCATTGTCTTTCCAAATAATTTTGAACCAACTGATTTAAACACATCCATTATTCCTTCACCATAGATGTGTTGCCTTGTATATCGCCCCAATTCAGGGTCAAATCTCATTTTAAACTCTGATTGTCTACTCATTTTTATCTAATGAATATATATTTAGTTGAGGGAGGGGTGTTAGGGGAACCGTAGGTTCCCCTTACATTGAATGGAGTATCAAAGTCATAAACCAATCAATACCATTAAAATTTACTGGTCTTCCAAGTGAGTCTGTCACATAGATTCTCATTTCATCAATGTGAAATGTTGATACAGGACAATACAAAGGTCTTTTAGGTTCAAATGAAAATGGAAAAGACCTTGTAAGATTATCAGTTGGTATCACAGCAATGGTATTTGTATTTATTCCATTTACAATGCTATCAGTTATTGCGGTTGTGTTGATATTTAACACATCAATCGAATTTGTGATATTTGGTAATTTTGATCCATACTCTGTTTTTGTAATAAGTTTCTTTTCAAATCCAATCAAGTCTCCAAATTCTGTTCCTCTCAAATCAAGTTGATAATCACCATCAAGTGATACTAACACTCTATAGGTGGATAGTATAAAAGTTAGATTAATTGAATAAATCCAGGCTATACTCCAGGCTACACTTTGTATAGACAAGACCGTGGCCCGCACAAACCTGGCGGCGGACTATGTGTTTACATTAAGAAAAACTACAAAGTTTCATCACTGGAGAATGTATCCTCAGTTTCTGATAATAACTTTCAGCAATTGTGGCTAAAAGTGCAAAGTCGCTGTTATAAGTCATTCGTCTTCTGCACAGTATATCGACCACCGAGTACTCCATTAAATTTTATAGATGATCTTGCCAACAGTCTTATCGAATCCCTCCTGTCAGGTCTTGATGTCATTATATTGGGTGACCTCAATTGCAACCTCCTTCAAGATAACGTAGAATCCCGTGCTTTAAACGATTTTTGCTCGACTTTTAACCTCACCCAATTAATCAATAAACCAACCAGAGCCACGGAGAATGGGGAATCGTTAATCGATGTTGTGATGACCACGAATGAGAAACTAATTGCTTCAAACGACGTCCTTATGTCAACTATTAGCGATCACAATCTTGTTTACATCTCGCTGAAGTTAAAAAAGCCAAGGATCAAGCCCTGTTACGTCACTATTAGAAGCTATACTAATTACAGCGCCGACAATTTTCTACATGATTTGTCATATGCGCCTTTTCACATAATAAGCCTATTTGACGATTTCAACGATCAAGTTGATGTATTCAACGAACTGTTCTTGGAAGTACTAAGTCAACATGCTCCAGTCAAGAGGGTTAAAATTAGATCTAAACCTAACCCCTTTATAACACCAGAAATTCGTCAACTAATGAGAACGCGCGACCAACGGCGCAAACTTGCGGGAAAACAAATGACCCTTTCCACTGAACGGATACAGATTTTTTTTCGTCAAGAAGTGAAAAGGGAGATTCGTGTGGCCGAAAAAGTTCACGTCAGGACTCAGATCCTGGATAGCAATGGAAATTCTAACTCAATTTGGAAAATCATTAACCGGTGTCTACCACGTAAACAACAAGATAGTTTTATGGTTTCTGAGGATCCCACTGGGTTAGCTAACGAATTAAATGATTTCTTCACTTCCGTCGGCAGTATTACTGCTCAAAAAGCCAGGGACTTATCTTTACATCATGGACTTAATGTAAATTTGGATGTGCCGACTCCTTTACACATATCCACCGACGTTAGCCCCGAATTATTCGTTCTCTATCAAGTCACGGAAAATCAGGTAGAAAGGGTGATTAGAAGCCTACCATCTAACAAAGCTCCTGGAATGGACAAGATATCTTCTAGAATTCTTAAAGACAGTTTACCCAGTACGCTAACAACAATTACCCACATTGTGAATAACTCCTTTGTTACCAACACAAAGTCACTGAAAGGTTGGTACATGGACAACTTATGGAGCATCTAATTAGAAATAATAAACTGGCAGCACATCAGAGCGGAAATAGAAAGCTTCACTCGACAGAAACAACTCTGTTGTACGTTACAGATCAGTTGCTCCAGGCTATGGATAACAAGAAAGTTTCCATCATGGTCTTATTAGATATGTCTAAAGCATTTGATAGTATTCGACACGACATCTTGTTATCCAAGCTACAAAATTTCGATTTTTCCCAGGGTGCGTTGGATTGGTTTCAGAGTTACCTTTCTAACCGACAACAGTGCGTTGGAATTGGTGACGCAGTTTCTAAAGTACTCCCACTTGAGTTCGGAGTTCCGCAAGGCTCTATTTTAGGTCCGGTTTTGTTTACAATCTATGTTAACGACCTCCTTTCTGTTCCTAAACGTTGTCTATCTGCCTCCTATGTTGATGATTGTAAATTATATTTGTCCTTTTCACCTGCCGAATTACCCACGTCCATCCTCGCCTTAAACGAAGATCTTAGGAGAATATCTCAGTGGTGCTGTAAAAACTCTCTTTTGATTAATCCGGACAAAACTAAGGTTCTAGCTGTTGGATTACCACAACTTTTAAAGAAACTGTCATCATTCAGTATAACACTTTTTGACAAGGAAATAACACCTGTGCCTGTCGTTAAGGACTTGGGTGTTCTTCTCGACACACGCCTCAGTTATAACCAACATATCACTGAGATTGCCTCTAAATGCCTTTTTAAATTGTACCAAATTAACAGAATCAAGCACCTCTTGGATAGGAAAACACTTCTGTTAGTAATAAATTCATTTGTCTTTAGTAAACTCCAATATTGTTCAACTGTCTGGAGTAATACCAGCAGCAGCAATATTGACAAGTTACAAAAAGTCCAAAACTTTGCTGGGCGAATTATTCTGGGACTAAGAAAGTATGACCATATTTCGGATGGGTTGCGATCGTTGAAATGGCTTCCTATTAGAGAGAAACTCATTCTAAATGACGCTACTATGATGCACAAATGTATTAACAAGCTTGTTCCAGACTATCTTGCTGATATGTTTAAATCACGTTCTCAAGTCAATAATAGACAAACTCGATCATCTGGTGCTTTGGATATACCTTTATGTCGCCTGTCAACAGGGCAGCGCTCCTTTGCTTTCAGAGGAGCCAAACTCTGGAACTCCTTGAATGATAACATTAAGTCCTTAAAATGCCCCAGGAATTTTAGACGTCATCTTGCAAATGTTTTATTAAGTTGATATATTATATTATTGATATATATTTTGTAATTATAATATTATTGTACTTACATTCTTAATTAATTTATATATATATATTTTTATTTTATTGAGCTGAAAAGCCCAGTTAGGGAGCATCAATAAAGTGTATGTAAAGTGTATGTATGTAATAAATTTTTTTTCCACCCGAATCTGTTGTGTGATGAGACGTTTGAGTCATATATTGATGAATGTAATCATTAATATCTGAGTAGGAATACATTCCATCTGTAAAAGTAATTGTTTGTCAGTTGGTACCATCATGAGTGTATTTGATTTTATTGTTTCCATAATCACTTCTAATATTGTACCAAGAGTAAGTCATGGACAACCGATCAAGAGCAAGTTGATGTTTCTTTTCAGGGTTAAGTTTCAAAGACGGATTAAACTTAATAGTAAAATCACCAGGTTTGCTTGTTCCTCTTTTTTCTCTGTTTATTGAAGAAATGTGAATAGCTCGTTCTTCCATTTTATTTAATAACTATATTATTTTGAGAGGGAGGGGTGTTAGGGGAACCGTAGGTTCCCCTATATATAAGGTTCCCCTATTATATATAAGTTTTTATTAAATCATTTAGTTGTTTTTTTGAGATCACTTTCATTTGGTTGAGAAGATGTGCTATTTGAGAAAACTCAGGTATCACACCATTATTCCCAGCAAGAATTGAACCACCAAGTAATTCAAGTCTGTCTAGAAGTTGATGTGGGTTGTTAAAGTAAATACCTTCTCCTATTTTATACTCAAGCGAATCTAAATAAAGTTTAAGAATGTTTTTGTATTTATGAAGAGTATCTTTTTGCATTTTAACATTATCTATTTCTGCTTTATCTATTATCCTGTAAAAGTTTTTACATCATTTTTTACTTCATTAAGTATTTCTTCAAGTCTATCAATATCAGTACCAAAAAAATTATTTGGCCTTGGATATCCCATAATTTCTAATAATTCTAAATCAACTTTATCAAAATTTTTTTCAATGTTATAACATGTAGGTGATCTTGGTCTAGATGTTGATGGGTCATCATAAACACCTTCCAAAGCTGGTAATTCTCTCATTTCAGCCAATCTTAAATTAGTTTCATTAATCTTTTCCAATCCTGATGTTAATGCAAGTTGATTAGCTTTTAGTTGTGCTATAGTTGCGTTTTGCTGCTCATCAATACTTTTTTTAATGCTATCTTGAGATTTAATAAGTGGTTTAAATGTCTCTTTAAAACCTTCCCGCATATCTTGTTTTTGCCATTTTGTTGTTTTGATAACGTCTCTAACCTGTTGAGTTAAAGCGTCAGCTTCAATTTTATTTCTTGCAAGTTTTTTGTATTCTTCACTATTCATTTTATATAATAAATAGATAAATGGAAATACCAAACTATGATAGTGTTGATGACCCGGATAAAAAATATAAACAGTTATTTCCTTACATGCCATCAGATACATTTCGGATGTTAATTTGTGGAAACAGTGGAAGTGGTAAAACTAATCTATTATATCACATGTTAATTAAACCGCTGTTATACTACGATGAAATTTATCTTTATGCACGTAATCTAGAACAGGATAAGTATCAAAACTTAATTCAAAAAATGAGGGAGTTAAGTAGTAAACTTGGTTATGAAATACTTCATGTAAGTAATGATGAAATAACTCCAGTGACAGAAATGGATTATGAAGACAATCAAAAACTTGTGATATTTGATGATTACGTCTGTGATAAAAACCAGAGACAGTTAATAGATTATTTCATGCAAGGACGACATAAGAATTGCTCTGTAATCTACCTCAGTCAATCATTTTACAAAACTCCAAAGGATATTCGATTGAATTGTTCTCACTACTGTCTGTACGAATTTCCATCATCAAGGGAAGCAAACAGAATATCATCCGAATTAGGAGTTGACAAAGAGACATATAAAGCAGCAACAAAAAAACCATTTACATTTTTATATGTTGATAAACCCAGAAAACGTATTGCAAAAAACTTTACTAGTAATCTATAAGGGGAACCTACGGTTCCCCTAACACCCCTCCCTTAAAATAAATATAATCATTAGATAAAAATGGGAATATTTAATGAACAATCTTTTGATCATCCTTTTGCTAAAGGAATTCAGGGTGCTCCAGGAGTTGGTTTTAGTCTAACCGCAAATGGAAATTATGATATGAATAAAAAAAGACTCACAAATGTTGGTGCACCCAGTGCTAATACTGATGCTGCTACAAAGAAGTATGTTGATGATAATTCTGGTGGATCACCCACAACAACACGATTAACAGTTGATTCAAATATTGATATGAAGGATCAATTTCGTATTCTTAACCTCAAACATCCAGTTGACTCAGATGAGCCAGCCACAAAACAATATTCAGACAGCAGATTTCTTGATAGAAATGGTTCCCGAACAATGATTGGTAATCTAAGCATGAATAATAATAAAATAATTAAAGTTGGCACACCAACAGCTAATGATGACGTAGCAACCAAAAAGTATGTGGATGATAAATCCAGCGGATCACTCACGTCAACAAGGCTAACAGTTGATTCAAATATTGATATGAAGAATGCATACCGAATTACAAATCTTAGCACACCACTGGATGGAAAAGAACCTCCTACAAAAGATTATGTAGACAACACATTTCTTGACAGAGATGGATCTTACCCAATGAAAGGTAATCTGAATATGGATAATAATCGAATATTTAATCTACCAGCTCCAACAGGTGGTAATCAACCAACACCATTAGCTTTTACAGATTTAAAGTATGTTGCCCGTGATGGTTCATCTACAATGACTAATAATCTAAACATGGATAATAAAAAAATAATTAACCTTAGACCACCAACAACAAACACAGATGCTGCAACAAAGAAATATGTGGATGATAACACAGGTGCTCCAGATTTAAGTGATTATTTGGAAAAAGATGGTACAGTCGCTATGACTGGAAACCTTAATGTTGGTAATAATAAAATAATAAATCTTGGTAAGCCAACCCAAGACAATGATGCGGTAAATAAAAATTACGCTGACAAACTAGTTCATCATACTACAGTTCAACCAAGTCATTACAACAACCAGTTTGCTTATCTTATGTCTAGTGGGTCTCAATGGACTGATGAAATAGATACCGGAGCCAGTTTTGTTATAAAAAGAATAGGAGATTTAGCACCAAACAAAGGAAACTTTCATGATTATAATCACAAAGTTATTTTTATGGGTATAAACAAAAATTCTCAAGGTGGGTACAAGTATAAAATGGGAATCAACTTTTACAGGTTAACTGCAAATGTTGACCATACCCTTTGTCTTGAAATACTCAACACTGATTATCAACTTTGGCATAAGTCACAAATAAGTGTAGACAAAGGAACTTCAACAGGATTATCAATTGGAAATGTTAGTGTAAGGAAACTCTCCCATAGATACAGCGATCCAAAGGGACAATCACAATTTATGTATTACCATAGAATAATAGTTAATTTCCGGAAGTTGACAACTGGAAATAGATTCTTTCTTCACATTTTGGTTAATATACCACAAGATGGAACTGACTTAGCTGTTTATCCGAGACAGTTTTTGGGGGTTTATTTAATTACTTATGGAATTGTGGGGACATTTAGCAATATCGATCCAGATAAAGTTTACGACTATCACACCGCATTTGATATCCACCCAACAGAAGTGGTGTACAACGTTGATATAAATGCAAATAATAAAAAAATATTGAACGTCAATCTTGATAGAAACAGTAACAATAGTGCAGCAACAGTTGGAATGGTAAAAGAAATTCATCCTTTTACTACTCATAATTTGTACAGAAAATATTTTAAAGAAGTTTATGATTTTACTAATGCCACTAATTACAAATTAAGTAGAACTTCATCTGGTATTGTTTTTAACAATTTAGCTTCTACTAGCGGTAATACTTTAAGTGATATGGGTATACCTAATAGAACCATAGATGATATAAAAAAAGAAGGCTTAGATGTTACTGGTTATACTATTAGCTTTTCTCCTCCTATCGGTATTACAAAATATACTTTATGTATTGTTTTTCATCATTGGAGAAATAGAAAATTTAGTATAAAGAAAAGAGATTCAAATAGTGGATTTTTTTTTATTAGATTTATATTATAATACGTTAAGTAGAACAATCAATTTAGTTGTTAATAAAGTAAGAAGACAACTTACCTTTCCAAGTAGTTTTAATGGAAAAAAAATTGTTATATGGCTGGCGGAAGATTTTAGCCAAAATATTACAAAAGCTAAAATAAGTAACTACAGCGCAATATTAAGTTTACAAACAGTTCGTTACACCAACGATCAAAAGTTTGAGTTTAAACTGAAGGTGGAGTGTTAAGTAAAATAATGTTTTCTCCAAACTTTTACGACACCGACTCTGAGCAATATAATAAAGTAATGCTTCAAGAAAAGTTAAATGGATCTTATGTAATATAAATATAAAATGAAGGATATCTTTGAATTTAATCACATAGACAAATCTCTGACAGAATCAGATGTCAAAACCCTCAAAGACTTTTATAGTCACTACCACAAGAAATACTGGTGTTTTAAGAAATGTTATAAGAGTTTTAAATTTCTTGATAATTTTTTTACAATCTCTGGAATATGCTTGGTAGCAATAGGAACTATTAGTGGTGGAATAACACTTAACCCTGTTGTTCTTGGAGTTGTAAATGGTGCTGGAGTTATTATTGCTGGAGTAGGAAAGAAAAATAATTACAAAAGAAAAATTGAGATGTCAAGGATTGCATTTACCACTTATGAAAAAGTTCTTGTTGAACTTAGAGCTGCTCTGAGAGGAGATGAGTGGAATAAAAAAGATTTTGTCGATCGAATGAAGTTAATAGATGAAATGATAATTGATCAAACTCCTATAGCGGATAGATTTGTTAGTAGGTATAATAAAAAATTTAATATAATTAACTAATAAATGGAAGATCTAGAAAAACAATTTTTTAATTCTTATGAATCATGTTTAGCTAAAGAAGGAAAAAAAATTTGTGAAGAAGTTGATTCTATAGTTGGTGATAATAATGATTTGATGATAGAAAAATGTAAAGCTTACTACTATTATTTTTCTGATAAAGAAAAAAGTTTAAAATTTGATCCAAAGTTGGTTGAAAAATTTAAAAGATTTTACAAACATTTTCGTAATTATGAAGATTTCAAAATGTGCTTTAAAATAAAATAAATTGATTTAAAGAAAAAAAATTATTAAAATAGAAATGGATAAGTTAAAAAGAGAAGGACTTGATATTCACAATATAATTTATAGCGCAGTTAATTGTGATGAGATGCATATAGTTAGTATGATATTATATTGTAAATTTATTTTAGAATTAGGTAAGGATAAAGCAAATAATATAGACGATAATTTTTACGAAAGGTGTGAAAAATATTTAGAGGAAAGTAAAAAGTATGTATCACCAGAGTATGTTAATAAATATTTAAAATAGAAATATTAATGAATTAACTCAATTCCTAATTCTTTATTTTTAAAAGCTTTTTCATCATGTTAGACATTATATTTCTAAATAATAATTATTTAGAAATTATATTTTTATTCTATGAATAACTCTGTAATGATTATTTAGAGTTTTTATTTTACGAAATGCTTTAGAGCAATATTCACAGGGAATACGCACACCAGCCATATACTTATGAATTAGTTTTGAGATTTTATCGTAATCGTTTGATAGTATAAACGCATAATTATTTTTAATATATGTTTCTTTCATTTTTAATTGTGACTCAGATATATTGTAATAATTAGTTGGTGATTTGAACTCAATACATAAACCATTATAATCTATATGATAATTTAATATCATTAGATCTGGAGACCTCTCTGAAATCCTTTCTTCCAACTATCAATTCTTTTTTCTGGTGTATCTTGGTTTTCACCAAGAGATGCAACCAATAAAGCATCTGGATAAAAATTTCTAATTAATTCTACAACTTTTGAATGTAAATCCATTTCATTTTCAATCTTAAACATTTTGTTATTTGGATTATCAAAAAGTTTATATTGACCAAATTTTCGAATAGAAGGAAGAACTTCTGAAGTAATCCATCGTTTAAACTTTTTAGCTGTTTCTAATTAAGAGGATAATAATAAGGAGTAAAAACCTGATTCGTTTATATAAAATGTTTGTTGTAAACCCCCCGCCGTTTTGGCGGCCCCTTTATATTTATCTTCTTCATCAACATGTTGTCTTATAGCTTTATTAGTATCACTATAACCTAGTATCTTTGCAACATCTTTTCCTAAAAACCAAATATTTTGTCTATAATCAATAAATGATTTTAACTCTATTCCTAATTCTTCATTTTTGTAAGATTTCTCTAACATTTTCGTCATTTTATAGTTTTATTTTTATTCTTTAAACAATAATTCAATTTTATAACTTTGTCACATCAAATCTGTGAATAAAACAGATTCAAAATATTTTAATAGTTTCTCATTAGATAATGTCTTTTTTATGTTATCGTGATAAATTTTAAGATATATATAATCTCTTTTCATTTTTAGATAATGTAGCCTAATAAAAGATTTTTTTCTATCATTATTTAATGAACTAATTTCTCTATAAGTAAGTTTCATTAAATCGTTTCTAACAAATAATGAACATCTAATTTTTTCCCATTTTTCTACTTCATTTGAGGTAATTTTTTTAATACAACTTATATGTACCATTTATATAATTATAATTTATTTTTTAAATTCCAAATTATGGATATAACTTTTCCTTTATTAAAAGTTCTTTAAGTCCTTCAACATCCTTACCCCAAAAGAAATCATCTCTTTGTTTTTCCTGTTCCTCATTCATTGTAAGACCATAACCTTCAGCAAAATAAGCATCTTCATCTAATTCTTTTTTATTTAAATAAAACTGTTCTGGAGCTCTAGTTTTCTCAAGTGCCTCAACCAATTCTTTTACTTTTTTACCTATTACTGGATCTTCAACTTCAACATAAATTTTCATAGGAATATATTCATCTGTATCTAGTTGAAGATATTTTCTTAGATTATGAAATTGTATATAATTTTTATTTTCTTCTAACTCTGTAATATATTTTAATAGTTGACTTGTACTATCTTCTTCGGTTAATATTTTAGTATTTGGATTATTAGATTTATATTCATTTAAACATTTAATAACATCTTCTCTATTATCAAAAGTTTTAGTGGTAACTTTAACTCCTTTATCATCTTGTGTAATTGATTCACTTGAGTGATCTTCTTCTTGATAATTATCAGATAAGAATTCTCTTTCTTTTAAAGATAAATTATTCAAATTAATAACCCCAAGAATATCACCCAAAGATCTTTCCATTTCAACCAAGTCATCTAAAACGCTTGGATGAAGTTTGTATAACACTTCACATATATGCTCTAAATTTAACAAAGATCTAGGATTAATTTCTATACGCATTATTTATATATTACTTATACTAAATGATAAACACAATAGTTCATTATGTTAACTTCTACTACTTTACTTTAAAACATCTTAATTACTCAGAAAATCTTATAAAGACATCACTGATTTACAGATTCTTATATGAAACTACTTTTAAAAAATATATAGATATAGAAACAATAATTTATAAATTAGAAAATAGATCTACTAAATCTAATAATCCTATTTTAAATAATCATTTAATGTTTTACAGAGCTTTTAAATCTTTTTACAAACACTACAAACTTGGGCGAGGATGTGTATATGTATTTGATTCTCCGATAAATAGTGAAGTACTTGGTTATCTCACTGGAATATGTTACTGGATTTTTCATAAAGGGCTGGATTAAAATTTTATATTAAAAAATAATATAAAATTATTTATTATCTAAACCTAGCAATCTTCTTGCTTCTTCTCTTTTTAATTTTAATAGTGGGGCAGATATGTGCAGATTTGGGGCCGAATTGTTCACTTTCTGTTAAAAGCACCAAATTTTCAGGAAATATAGGAAAAAACATGGGGATTAATATGTGATATGGTGCCATCGCAATTTTTCCTGTTAAACCGGTTTTTTGGACCGATTTCTTATATGGCCGCCATTTTGACCGGAAGTAGTGAAGCACCTAACCGGAAGTACATGAAAAAGCGGATATTTAGACAAAAATGATGATGAAATAGTTTAAACTGTGTTTTTCCCGATGTTTTTATTTGTATAAAATATTCAAATGTGTATAAATATTGTTTTTTTAAGGGGAAAAACAGGAGTAAAAGCAATATTAACTGAAAGTTTAAAGAGCAATTCTTTATACAGAATGTAATAATATCACAATTCATATTTTTTGAAAACAATGAAGGAATAGATATATAAAAAGTGAATACCATCCGGAATCCCATTTACCATATTTCCTTTGCCACGATTCCTAATAGTAACCACAATGCTTTGCGTCGAAACTAATTTGCATATCAGCTCCGCAATTTTGTTTCATCTAAGTGGATATCTCGTTGTGCTTGTACTAATTCGAATAAATCGCTTTTGCCGTAACATCTGATAATTTGACAATTATACAAAATAAGTTACCTTTATCAAAGTTCGGAAAAAACAAACGAAAAGTGAAGTAAACGCCGACCTAGCTCCTCTAGGTGAGCTGTAAGTATCAGGCATCAAGAACAGCTAGATCGATGCTTCATTCCAGGAGTGGGGAAGTGGCAATTAGATGATAAATTTATGTTCCAAAGACAACAGAGGAAAGGTTAAACTGAAGCTAGAGGATTCTTGCTGAACAACTTGAGCGTTCTCTGTTGCACGGAGTCATGGAATAGAAGCCCTTATCAACTGTAAGTATTGAGAACAATTAGAGTACGTTTACACTGGAGTACGTTTTCCGTATTCATGCGTCCCCATATCACATGTATTTAACGTATGTTTAGCGCATCAGTTACCGTAATCCAAAAATATTCAATTCAGAATTGGATACGTGTTACCTTTTTTTCATAACGAATACACCACCAAACCAGGGACTTTAGCATTAAAGTTCCAGATTTGTAAGGAATGTTAAATCAGACTTACTACAGATGAACTTTTAACTCTTTAGATACAAGTACTTTTAAAGTGGCGAAACGATTAGTTTCATCTAATTTAAATAACTATTTTGTTTCAAACAGCCTCATGGATGACTGCAATCGTAATGTGACCGATTGGGAGCTCTGCGTTATCTGCCAAGAATCAAACAAGGAAGGACTTCAGTGCCCCGCGAACTCAAGGCGAGCAGATAAAGGTGCAGGCTATAAAACACTTGCAGACAATTTGAAACAGTTTGCTGATCTGGGTTACATGCCCAAGGACGTAAATTTATCGCGACTAGATGAAGGCGACGGCATTGCGGCTGCATTCTTCAAACATAGGGCCCGCTATCACAAAAGTTGCTATGCTCTTTTTAACTCGACAAAACTGAAACGAGCCCAAAAAAGAAAATCTGAAGCCCCAGACGAGCCGCCAGCTGGCGGAAAGTTTCCTCGCTCAAATGCATTGGCATACTTAAAGGACACTAGTCCATCTTGTTTTTTATGCGAATCTGATAAACAACCACTTCATAGGGTTTCGACCCTTAGTCTCGATGCTAGAGTTCGGGAATGCGCAAATGTACTGAATGACGAAAAGTTGTTAGCTAAGCTTGGTGGCGAGGATTTGATCGCTCTTGAGGCGAGCTACCACGCCTCTTGTCTATCTATGCTGTACAGGAGTACAGAATATGCAAAAAGAGATGCCGTGCGAGGAGATGAAAAGCCACATCGTCTAGAAGGTATTGCCTTGGCGGATCTCGTGACGTTTATAGAGGAGTCGCGCACGAATAGCGGGGGAGAGCTACCTACATTTAAGCTAGCAGACCTAGCGAAGATGTATACCAATCGCCTGCAGCAGCTAGGGATGGAGAACACCGCAAGACCAAACAGTTCACGCCTTAAAGAACGTATAATTGCTCAGGTTCCTGATCTCCAACCTTACAATAAGGGACGCGATGTATATTTGGCATTTGGAGAGGATGTTGGGAATGCACTTCACAAGGTCCATAAAGAAGATTCTGATGATGAGGCCATACACCTTGCGAAGGCAGCTGCGATTGTCCGTAAAGACATACTTACAAATAAGTATTCATTTAATGGGTCCTTCGAACGAGACTGTCAACTGCGTTCTATCCCAGCATCCTTGTTATCCTTTGTTAACATGATCCTGTATGATCCAAATATCAACGCTGAAGAGGGTAGTTTTTCAAAAGGGCAGGCTGCTCTTACCATCGCACAGCTAGTACAGTACAATACTTATCTCCGTCGCCGTGAAGGAGATGTTAAGAAGGAAAGGCGAAATAAATCTCGAGAGTCTCCAGTTCCAATCTATGTTGGAGTATCTGTACATGCCAAGACACGCTGCCGTGACCTCGTAGAAATCTTACATAAACTTGGAATCTTTATTTCATATGACAGGGTATTGAGCATCTCCACGGATCTTGGAAATGAAGTGTGTCGCCGCTACTGGCAAGAAGGTGCAGTGTGTCCGTCTAATCTTCGTCTGGGTCTCTTTACAACAGCTGCCGTGGACAATATTGATCATAATCCGAGCTCAACAACATCAAAAGATTCCTTCCACGGCACAGGCATTTCTTTGTTCCAGCATCCATCGGGAGTTACGCCTGGTACTGAACAAGCACCGATAAATATCGCAACAAATGCTGATAGCGAGAAATCGATAAAAGAACTGCCAGCGTCATACACAGAAGTCATTCCGGTACAAGAAACTACAAGTAAAGCCCAGCCTCCAGCCAACGTATCAGAGATGAAGTCGGATGAAAGCTCATTTAATCGCGGCTTTGAAGATGAATCCACATGGTTAGAGAAGGCTAGCACTATTGTGGTTAACCAAGAAAGTTTCGAAGAGAAAACCCAAGTCTCTTGGGCTGCATTTCACTCTCACCAACCGTACTGTGTGCCTCCTTCGTCGGTTGCTGTTTCTGCTCTGTTGCCACTTTTTCCTGATCAGGTAAAATCGGTTGCAATGATAAGACATGCCATGAACGTGATAAAACTGTCCGTAGATCATCTGAATCCAGGTCAAGTCCCAGTCATTGCCGTAGATCAGCCATTATATGCTGTAGCGAAAGAAATCCAGTGGAGATGGGCTAGTCATTACGGCGAGGATAAATTCGTTGTAGTATTCGGTGGACTCCACATCGAGATGGCGTTTCTGAAGGTGCTAGGAGATTGGCTTGAGGGAAGTGGGTGGACAGTGGTCCTTTCAGATGCAAACGTTGCTACGCCAGGAACCGCTAATTCGTTTCTCAAGGCCACAAATGTAACGCGCACTCGAAGGGCTCATCAGGTGACAGCATGCTCCTTATTTATTCTTCTAAAGAGAGCGTATCAGAGGTAAATATGTCATTTCAATGGTAAAACTGGTGGGAAAATCTTAATGTTTTTAGTTATAGCTGAGCTGCACATTGCTGCTTTAACTAGCTTTACAAACACTTCACTCAAATCTCAACAAGGTTAAGGATCTTAACTTTCGGGGACGTAATCCAGCTGGCTAAAGGTAGAGCGTGGAACAACTGCATTCTGTCCTCGAGACTCTACAAAAGAAGCACCGAAAACAGCCAACAGATATATTAGTTAATATCGAGTTTTGATGTGAGCGCGATAAGCAACCCCCTTGCGGCTCTGTATAAAATTTCTTACATGCATGGCTGATGGAAATAAAAAGGGGTGGATTTTTTTATCCCTGTATTGCCGTTTAAGGCTTTAAAATAAGGATAATTATGTTATCAATGGATTGTTACATCGTAAAACTTATTAGTAAAATGTTTCACTTGTGATAGGTACGTAGATGGAATGGGTAATGGTGCCCTTTCCTTTGACGAGTGGTGTAACCATCAGAGACGTAAAGTACCCCAGTTTCAGTACTGGCATACAGCCCTTCAACTGGAGCTTCTTCTCCTTGTTTTTCTAAAGTCGCTCCGCCTTGCTGACTTTGGTATGTACGTAGATGCAGTTTACAAGATGCTTCCGTGGTTCTTTGCTTTAAACCATACCAACTATGCCCGTTGGCTCCCTATACATGTACGCGATATGCGCGAACTCGACAGTAAGGCACCAGCAGTAGCAGAGGCATTCAAGCAGGGTTTGTTCACCGTCACAAAAACCCGTCGAAGATTTTCTTGTATAGCTATTGATCAGGCCCACGAGCAGAACAATGCTATGGTCAAGGATGACGGAGGGGCTGTGGGTCTGACAGAGAATGCCAGCGCACTTTGCAGGTGGATGCTATCCGGTCCTGAGATGGCACGGCTAGTCAACGAGTTCGAGGCATCCATGGCACCTGAAGTTAGACCTGGAACAAACAACCATCGTGAAGCTGAGAGGGGTTATCAAGCAGCGTACCACAAAGATGTCAGGTCACTCGTGGATGTACTTGACGACCTTGGGAACCCTTTTGAAGAAGAGGGCAAAGACCTGATCGTGTTAGATACAAAGGTGGTGGCAGACGAAGGAGGGGTATCAAGAATGCAGCAAATAGAGGATCTTGGCGTAAAGCAGTGTGACACGTTCATTTCAGAGCGCCTAATACAGCGGACAAAGCCTCTCGATGACCCTATTAGTAGAAACAAGCTCTCCTTCTTTGAAACTCCTTCCAAGAAGAAAATTTCAAAGGCTCAACAGCAGCTTTCCTCTATGAAAAGCGACTGTTCTCTTTTTTCACGACTGTTTATTGCATGCCAGAGCAGAAATGGTAACTTGGATGAATTTTTTAAACATGAAAATCAAGCATGCCCCCCATCGATATCTGATCAAGGAAATTTGCGCCTCCCTCGACAAAAGTCTGAGTTAGCCTCTTGTCTTCAAGCTCTAACTACTCCCAAGAATGCAGCCCCAGCCAATTGTGAAGTCATTATTATGGACGGAGCAGCACTGGTAAACATGCTTAAGCCCACGGGGAAAGAGAAAACATTTTCCGAATATGCCTCAAATAAGTTCATTTCTTATGTCACCGCTCAGCTTCAACATGTGAAATGCATTGATATTGTCTGGGACGAATACGTGGAGAACAGCTTGAAAGCAACAACTCGGAGCAATGTGGATCAGGAGTACGACAACTAGTCGCAGCTAATAATAAGCTTCCAAGAAACTGGAAAGAATTCCTTCGTGAAGATCGGAACAAGCAGGAGCTCTTTAGATTCCTTGCGCAATGCGCTACTTCTGTTAACTCGGGTCAGAGACAGATCATCTCTACGTATGCAAGAGGCGTACTGACGAGCCTTCCACGAGATGACACCTCCAGCCTGGCACCATCCTCACATGAAGAAGCCGACACAGGAATGTTTATCCATGCTGCTGATGCTATCCAATCCGGCTTCACCAAGATCATTGTTCGTAGTGTTGATACTGATGTCTTAGTACTGGCCGTGGCTCTGGTACAGAAGTTACAGGCGCTTGCTTCAGAGAGCATCCAACTCTGGGTGGCATTTGGTACTGGGGAACATCTTCGCTACCTTGCAGCCCACGAGATTGCCAACAAATTTAATAACACCGCTGCACTTGCCCTACCTGCATTCCACGCATTCACGGGATGCGATACGGTGTCTTGTTTCTATGGGAAAAGCAAGAAGACTGCGCTGGACACCTGGAAGAGTTTTCCAGAAGTCACCCCTGTGTTTATCGCCTTGTCCAGAGCTCAAACATAAATAGCCGAAGAGTGGATGTCAACCCTTGAACGCTTCGTTGTCTTACTTTATGATAGAACAAGCAGTTCTTCATCTGTAAACGAAGCCAGAAAGCAGTTGTTTACCCGTAAGGCTCGAAATTTCGACGCCCTTCCTCCGACGCGAGATTCATTACTAGAACATGTCAAGCGTACTGCATACCAGGCTGGCCACATCTGGGGACAAGCCCTCGTGCCAAACCCACCTATTCCTAGCCCACAAGATTGGGGATGGATATTGGAAAGTGGCGAGTGGCGGCCTTTCTGGACAACACTGTCAGAAATAACAGTCATGCCAAGAGCTAGTAAAGTGCGGCTGTAAGAAGGGTTGTAGAGGAGGCTGTGATTGTCAGAAGGTTAGCCTAAGATGTACAGCTATGTGCAAGTGTGCTGAAGAGTGTGAAAACCGTTGAAGCCAACAATCTAAGACTCTTTTGCGATTATAAACGCTGGTCTCCGAACGAAGGGTAGAGTAAATTTTGTAAGTAGTCAATGAGACATTACATACCTGTTATTCTTAGTATTCGTATACAGCATTATAGTCCAAGAAGATTGAAGTTTAGAAATGAATCTGGACCAGAGAAACAGTAAATTATGTGTATACTGTCAGAGTGAAGATAAAATTAAAGAACACCAGCTAGCAAAAATGAAGTTTGGACCCATTTCTTCGATAGTTTTGACTATGGTATTTTTACTTCCGGTCTACTCGCGTTCATTTTAAATTTCTATCTTTTAAACTGTAATTTATCATTTTTGTACAAATTTAGCTAATATAGTGTCTTTTTATGTGAAAATACAGTTACCTTGTGCATTTCCGGTCATTTTTTGGCCAAGTTGTTAATATACAGACATTTTCTAGAAAGTGTCATTTTTACTTCCGGTTCAAAATGGCCGCCGTTTTTAAACTCCCCTTTAAATGACCCTTAACGGTGGTTTTGGCGATGGCACCATATCCTATCTTTTTAAGCGCCTTGAAAACTGTCATCATGCCAATTTTCGTGCTTTTAACAGAAAGTGAACAATTCAAGCACATATCTGCGCTACTATAAGTACTCTTCATTTAATTCTTTCATGTAATCTTCTTCAGATATTCCATCTGGTGGCCTATAGCTTTCAAAAAAATATTCAAATAAAAAACCTTCTCCGTCTTTAATTTGTAAAAACATTTCTTTTGCTTCAATTTTAGGTGTATTAGCAACTCAATTACTCATTTTATAATTGTATATATTATTTCTTTAAATTCTTATAACTGTTCCACCACTTTTCATAAATCTCTAAAGTTTGAGAACTAATCTTAAGTTCAATAAGTTTATACTTTTCACATCCCATCTCCTCCAAAAGTTTTTTGGTTAAATAATTAATATTTATCATTCTCTTTCTAAAGTACTGCTTGTTTAGTATTTCCATAATACAATTGTCTATTTTTATTAGTCTGTCGTAAAGTTCACATTTTTGTTCATCATTTAGGTTTATTCTTTTAGAAATTTGATTAACTTTTTTCTCATAGTGGTATTTTCTATGATAAACACTCTTTTTTCTATAATGCAGTCTATCAAAATCTTTTAGATCAAATAATCCTAATACATGACCGTTAAGTGTTCCACATTCATCACAAATTTTATAGCCAGAATCAATGGTAAAATATTCAGTATTTGGACAATTTGGACATTTACATTTTCCACTAAATTCCTCTACAGGTTGACTAGCATAATTATGTAGTATATCCAGATATTTTTTTTATTTCTTCTTCTGTATAAGACATTTATTATTTATACAAATTTATCTTAAAGCTTCAGTTTTTAATTTACCAAATAGTGTTGTGCGTTTATCATCTTCATTACTTAATGCTACTTTATTTACTTCCTTTGAATATATTTCATGTTTCTCACTTCTTATAATTTTCATCTTTCTCATTTCTTTTCTTCCTGTAAATAAACATTGGACATAGTAATCAAAATCTAATTTCTTTTTTATAACATTTTTCTTTATTCCTTTACATTTACGTACTTCTTTATCCTCTTCAATTCTAAAACTATAAAGTTTGGGTCTCAATCCAACAAAACAAGTTATTTGTTTTCCTGCTACTTCATCTTTAAACATCCCTATTACTTTTTTGTTAACTCCTGTTGGTATTCCAGATTTATGATTAAGAGGATAATCAGAAGTGTCAAACTTGGTTAGTATATCAGGAATTATATCTTTGTAAAAATCATCTGTGTAAATCTGAAACATTAGGCTATCAGTATCAGTAAACAATAACTCAGCCTTGTTTCCATATTTCTCTTTAATGTAGTTATAATGAAAATCAAACATTAATGTTTTTGATAAATCTAAAATTGCTTGACCAACATATACTGGTTTGTTAAAATACACTTCAGTCTTTTTCATATGAACCGCAATAAGATTACGATCAAATATTGTACATCTATCAAAGTTTGGCCTACTTGATAGTTTGACAGCTTTCTTACGATTATCAATAAGATGTATATTTTGCCTTTTCCTTATATTTTCAATTGTTTTGCCAAAAACACTATTATTCATTAGTTTGAAAAAGTCTTTCTCAAAATTGTTGGCTGCTGTCTTTCGAAGTTCTGTATTTTTTCTTATATATGGCTCCATCCAAGAACTTTGATAAAATGATATTCCTCTATGAACAGCAGTAATTCTCATACCCATCTCAAGATACTGTCTAAGATTTCTATAGTGAACAACATAGTTTTTTCGAGGTTTGAAATGACAAATTAATTTTTCAACACCATTAACAATCATCTTCTCAGGCGCTAAAGGATAGTCATTATGTTTTTCCCATAGGTGTTGAGGGTATTCCAAATCAACTTCAAATATATAACCTTTTCTCCCAAGATTTGACATACTATGATTTGCTTTCTCTAAAATTTCCATTAGGGTCTCTTTTGTTATATTCTTCATCCATTTAAATCCATGTGTTGGTAGATTTTGAGACATTGCCCAATTGCCTGTTTGCATCCAGATATTGAATATAACTAGACTCCTCATCAGGATTATAATTTTTCATATATTTATTATTTGCTTCTGCGTATCGCTTTGATATGTGTTATTCCACCACGTATACCTTGCTCAAACATCATTAACATATCATAATCATGTAGTAACTGTAATTGCTGACCTGTTTCTTTAAGACATGCATCCCAAGCTAAACCAGGAGATGTGTAATAATGAACTGGATCTAACTTGTAATGTTTGAGACAAGTTTTTCTAAAGTTTTCAAATACATCTGCTAGAAGTAATACATCAGACTTTAGGTAAAGATCATGATAATCTCTTATTGTTTTACATCTAAATGTATTCCACACATTTATTGCGTGTTGGTAATCTTCATCACTAATATCTTCATCATTTAGTTTTGAATAGAATTCCTCTTTTGGGGGTAATTGTTTTTCTGATAATTTATCAAGAGATGAAACGTAGTCATAAGGATAAACTCCCTTACGAGTAAGTAGTTCTGTATTACTCTTAAATACTTGTTTTGTATTATGAAAGTCATCTTGGGATAAATTACCAACTAGATTGGCAAGTGATGTTTGAAGAAACTTGAATGAATCTAAAAATCGTATTTCAAAATTTATTGGGCACATTTTTCCAAGTTTTAAGCAATAATACTCACCAACTTTAATACTTTTTGAAAAAGAAATATATTTTTCCTCTGTAGATGGAATACAATTTAAATCTCCTTCTAATCTTGCAAGTTGTTTTATAAACAAATGTGCGTCATAACCTTGAAGATTGTGAAATATAACTGCGAGAACTAATGGTTTTTTACACTTAAGATTACAACTGTTATGAGCTGCACCACGGTACTGACCAGTAAAGTGACAATGATCTCTAACTTTATCTGTTTTTAATTCTTTACTACAAATATGGCAGGTAACTTCTTTCTCAAATGATTTTTGTTCTTCCTGAGTTAGTCTAAGAAGTTTTGGTCTACGATAAAAAATCATTATAAATTCCTTTAGTTACTTCTGTAAGTTTTTCTACAAATACTTTTGCTATGTCTTCATCCTCAGATTTTTTTGTATAAATTATTGGTTTAGTTTTTTTATCAACTATTCCTTTAACATAAAAACAAAATCCTGATGGTTCATGCTTTTGATAGTTGTAATTATAAGATTCTTTTGGATTAGGACTGCAACTATTCATTGGTTTAGTAAAGCATTCAAAATCTGCATAAACTACAAAAGGAATAGGAAGTTGTTTGTAATAATTTTTGAAATGTAAATAAGTATTTGGTTCAGGCATTTTTACAGCTACTGTTTGATTGTTAGAACAATATTTAATATGTTTTTCTAATAATTCTTCTTTAGTAAAATGAGTAAAACATTTTTTACAAATAAATATTTTACCATTCTTACTTGTAGTTTTTTGTGACTTAATTAAACGATTAAAATCTTTAATTAGCGTATAATGTGTATTACCATCTTCTTCGTACAAAAATAAATCAATAGTATTTTTACAATCTCTATCTGCCATTCTCAAAGGATAAATAATCATATTATCATCTGAAAAAACATTTATTCCTGGAAGTTCTGGATTAAGTTTTTCAAATTTGGAAATATCTTTTAATTTCATAGGAAAATTAATACCTTTTGTTTTAAGTGAAAACTCATACTTTTCTAAATCTTTTATTTTTTCTTCATGTGTTTCTTTTGGATGAAGATATCTAAGTATACACCAAAGAAAGCATTTATCATCTTTATTTTTAATATTTACAATTGCTTTTTTATTTTTTATCCAACCTGGAAGATCAATGTATGATGAGCCCTTAGTTGGATTAAACTCAACAGTATGAATTTCTAGCTTTTCCACTTCTTTAAAATACCATCCACTTCCTTTTTCTGTATACGCTTCAATATGACCATCAATACCATCGTAACATAATTTAATTAATTTGTCAACATTAGTTGATTCAAGATTAAGATGTGTTCCTCAAAAAAAGTAAGCTTTACCTTCTTCTAATTCTATAATACCAATATTTTGTTTAAGATATTGTTTTTCCATAATACAAACCAATATCATGTTTAATTTTATATTTCGATGATAGGTAAAAAAATCTCTTAAAGTTTTATTTATTCTTTCGTAAAACTGCCGTGGAGTAAGACCAGGAATACCTTGAATAATATACTTATTGGCAAAACCTTCAAGAGCTGATTTTTCTTTTTCAAGTCCTTGGTCATATTCATGCAAAGCGCGCTCAAGAGCTTCACGTAAATAAGGAGGCCTAGGAGTATCTTTAGGGATCTTTTTATTTTTTATACATTCCTCAAAATACTCATCAAATGTTTTTATCTTTTTCTTTTTGGCTGCGAGTTTCTTTTTATATTTCTTTTTTATATCTATTCCTTTTTTTACTTTTTCATTAAGCTTATCAAGTCTTCTTATATCTCTAATTAATTTTTCTTTTTCACTTAGTTCCTTATAATTATCCTTAGTTCCTTGTTTCTTCTGGTTTAATATATATCTTAATTGATCCAAAGATAAACTCTTGTATTCATTATCTGTTATAAAGGGTTGAGAACCCTGAAAACCATCAACTGACTGGTTAGACATGACGTCTTCTAATAAGTGATTATATTAAAAGACGAAAATGTTTAAATAATTAATTTTATTCTAAAAATCATCACTATCATATTCATATTCATATTTAATATTTAATTTTGTAAAAAATAAATTAAAATAATAAAAAAAATCAATGAAACCAGGATAAGTATTAATAAAAATTAAATCTTCTTTATGGTAACAATTTAAAATAAAATCTAAATACTGGTCAATATTATCTAATTTATTTTTAATCTTATTTAAATTAAAAACACCATCATCCTCATAAATTTCAAATTCACTAATATCCTTAAGTTTACCTTTTTCTTGTCCTCTCAAAAATCTTTTAATTAAATTACATAATCTATCACATCTTTTACTTTTAAATAATCCATCATTTATCTCATCAAGGTGATTATAAAAATACTTAAATTCCTTATTTAATCCTCTTATGTAAAGATATTCTTTTTTATAATCCCTTGCATATTCTGGGATTTTATTATTAGTTGATTTAATGCAATTCTGGTAATTCGAAGATGTTCCTAGGATACCCATTTCCATAACTACTAGCTTTGGTTTAGGATAATGTCTGGGGTAGAAAGGACTGGTGATGACTCCTGAAATCTCATTCAAGGTTGTCATATTTGAACAGACTGTAAAAAAATATTACACACATGTCTTGGAGTATATTTTGAAAAATATCTTGATAAGGCAGATCTTCCCCTTCCCCATCCTACAATATTTTCAAAAGCACTTCTTTACTTTCGTCTCAATATCCCAGACTCCATCTGAAAACGGCTTAGTGTATCAGCTTTAATGAAATACTAAGAAAGATATATAGTTGTCATGCTTGATTCATAAGGGGGCTTTTAAGCCGTACTCGATGGCAGGAAGGAAGATGGCTTGTCAGTAAGCAGTATTTTGTATTTTGACAAGACATCTTCCTTCCTGCCATCGATTACGAATAGAATTACAATACTTTTCCAGCACAAGTGTTATCCCGTATTTCTTGGTAATTTTAGAGCGTTAAGCCACAGAATTTTCGGTAATTTTTTCTTTCTTGGTTGACTCTCAGCCTTTAAACTTCAAATTGAAGAAAAAGACCTCTTTGGCTGACAAAATTGTCATCTCCACACAACAACTGATGATTCCCGATGTCCCACTTTCGTACAACTTGAAACAAACTTGTTCTTCAAATTTACCTGAATGCAATATCTTGTTCAATTTTACCCAATCGTGTTCCCTTTGGCATTTCGTTATTCCTCTTTTGCTCTTTTACATTTTCAAGCAGTAATACGTCAATAGTTTCTGAGTCAATTTTTTGATCGTCTGATAAGTACCGAAATTGTCTTATAGACCTGATAGTGTGAGATCGATCTACAGGAGCTCCATACAAAGTAATTGTTTTTGTTTGTTTGTTTATAGCTGTTGTTTCCCTCCATGTAAGATATGTGTTCGGGATACCGGAATCAGAAAAACAATTTGCTTGCGGAATGCGAAATCGCGGGATTTTGAATCTGTGATTCTACTCGAGAAATCCGGAATCCTTCTAAGTGATTGGAATCTGCACCCTAACTGCCATGGTTATAGTGTTCAGATCGCGCTGGTCAAATTTTCGGTCGTACCGGCTAAAAAACTGACTTAGGTTGTGGCGTTCAAATTTTTGACCGGTTCTGTTAACATATCTCCTAAACGCACGAATATTCAACCGGTCGAAAATTTGTCCTCCATTTCTCCGGTGCCATGTGAACGAAGTTTGCGTCTAAACCTAATCACCAGAAATTTTCAAAAGTTTACAATTCTCTCAATTTTTCTACAAAATATATTGAGATCCCTCATTGCTGTTAAGCATTCTATTCTTTCAGAGTCGGATGACTTAAAACTTGGTTCGGCTGCCTGAGGAAATACCAGAAAATAATCAGCCATATCAGTTCAACGAGAGGTAGCTTTATTTGTTGTAATACTGGGCCAGATTATTCTAGATGCAGATTATCTTGGATTGTACTCTGCCTGGTAAAGACGCTGTAAAACGTAATCTCCAATAAACGAGCATTAAACCACAGGGAGCATCTTCCGAGAATAGGTTTATACATCTTCCTTTTTGGCAAAGCAAAGAGTTAATAGACCTTATTCACGATACCCACCATCTTTGCACGCGCTTTAGGATTGATGGGATAAAAGCAAATATCAAGTGGTACTTCAGGGGGCGAACAAACGATAAAATTTGCCGTTGCGAGAAATCGAGGTCCACTTTCTTTATTATCTCAAAACGAAACAACGATCAATTTAGTCATGCACGGTTTGAGTGTCGACAAAATTAACGTCATTATTACTTGCTACGACGACATCTTTGGTCGCTACTCCATTAAAGAAACAACAATGGTCACTTCCACCCATAATTTGCCATTATCGTCTTTTTAATTTTAACTCAATCGTTGGTGTGTTATAAATAATGTATACCACGTACCTGAACTATACGTTATAGCCGTGTAACTTGCATTAAACCCTGGGTATTGACTGCTCAGAGACGTGAATATGACTTGAACGGAATTCCCTACTGAGTACACTGGAGGAGGAAGAGACTGACCGCACAGCATGAACGGCTGATACCCATCATCTGAAGCAACATTTGTGACTGTAACACGGGCTCCTGGAGCATCATAATAGCAGGGACTGTACTGATTTGGCTCCAAGCGAAAACAGACGAAGCTAAGTTTAATGATGTACCCGCTGGGAACTGTGATGTTCCAGGTACATTTGCTGTATTGAGTGTAGTTACTTGGCAAATTTGGAGTTGTAAAGAATCCACTAAATCCATTAAGATATTCGCCGGAGGTACAAACTGCAACAAGAGGAAATAAGCATGATTTAGCTATATAGTTCAAAATCAAAGAGTAATTTTTTCTGTGAACCAAAAAAAAAACAATTTTATCGAAAGCGTTGCTATAGATACACATAAAAAATACAAGATTCGAAACAAAACACTTTTAACATCATGCGAATGAAAATTGTTAGCATTTCATCGGCATTTTGGTTTGTGTCATGTTTTATTCCGTAAAGTCATAACAATTAAGTTAAACAAATACACGAACAGCAACATATTGAATCAACTAGACAGTGAATACATATACCGTAAAATTCCGAAAAGAAGTCCCTGGGCTTATATTTTTCAAAGGCCCTTTATGAGGGGCTTATATTCGGAGGGGCTTATCTATGGAGGGAAATTTGCTAGCCATATAGTTAGAAGGAGATTTACCGTTTTTTGCTTTGTTTTACTTTTGTATTTGAGGGCAATTTCGAAGGAGGGGGGGGCTTATATTTGGAACGAGTTTGCGGGGCTTATATTTGGAGGGGCCTATTTTCGGAATTTTACGGTACTTTAAAATAGGTAAATGAAACAAGGTATGAGTGAAAGAAAACTAAAAAATTAATATTTACTAAATATGTCAATTAAAGTAAGCACGCCAACATAAGCATCCTCCTGTATCAAAATATCCAGTGCCGACTCTGTAGGGTATTCTTAAATTTATATTTAGGTAGAGCACGATCACTGTCGGGAATACTATGCATTCTATATTTTTGCACCAATACTTGAAAAGGAGCTCTTCATATGGCCAGTTCTCGAGTGCTGAATATAGAAATTGCCAGCCGCAGAAAATCGTGTATTATGATGATGTACTTTTGAAGAATAGGTAAATGAGTTGGAAACGTTTGGAGGTGATACAATTTTCAATACATCGTGCATAGTAAGGCAGCTTGCTTTAAAATAACGAAAATTAAGAGGAAGAACATTAGACAATTTTAACAGAGGTACAGCGGGGAACCTAAAGGGTTTGAAATGAATCAATCGAAGGGCACGTTTTTGAAGAATCAATTTTTATTTCCAAAATTTGTAGAAGCAGCTTGGCCCCAGACGGCTATACCATAGGACAAGTAAGGTTGTACAATAGAACGAGAGATTTCTGATAAAGTGGAAGAAGGGACAAATGACTTACCGGTGTTTGTTGCATTATATTTCACTTTAATGTAAGTTGCCTTAAATCCACGGTACCGCCGGTATGTACCACTGTCAGAAACAAACGTCAACCTCAGGACATCTCTTACCGAATGGTATACTATCCCACGGTCTTTATAGTATCTACATCTTCGCCTGCCTGAAATGCCATCAGAGGATGAGCCATTTTGTATTTCCAGGTAGTCACACGTGCAAGATGAACCACATTTACGAATATGAATGTCTTTAATGACCAACACAATGCGTTCTCCTTTACTTGCTATAATTTTCCACCTGCATTTCTCGTTAGAAGGGTAACCTCTTGGATAGTAAGGACTGGTAAGAACTCCTGATGTTTCATTAAGAGTTGCTATATTGGGACAGGCTGCAAGCAATATAAATGGACTGAGAGTAAGTAGGAAGAAGGAATTAGATCAAAACCAAATGTGGAACGAAAGGACTTAATAATTTTGGGATGCGCAGAACGTTTTTTTGGTTTGTGTCTGGAATAACGTTATTTAAATTATCGAGATTATATTGTGAACAAGTCACAGACAATTGACTGCCTTCTTACGTTGTTTTTAAATGGACAGGTTCACGGTTAAGCGTATGCTCATTAATTAAATTCCTTTTTTCCAATTTATTATTTATTGTATCCGTTAATAATCCCACTCACATGTATCTCAGCGATATCAGAGTGTATTTCAAAGTAGAAGTGTATTTCAGAATAACCTGAAGTAGGATGGAGGAGTACTAAAATCGCAGAAAACGTTGAATTTACTGTTGACCCGAAGGTTTAATTCCATGGTTGATTAATTTACAGTTATTTACAAATATTTAAGTCGATCAACTGCAAGTGACTGCCAGGGGAGTGTGCAGATTGGTTCTTTGACAACATTACTACACGATCATATTGCTTGCATATAGACGATACAGCATGTCCCGGCAGAAAAGCAGCATTTTGATAAATGAGCATTCGCTGAACCGTGAACCTGTCCCTTTAAGAGTCCGTTCCGTGACTCAAACGAGCATTTTAGTGGGTATTAGGTGCCTGCGCTTACTCTAGCTGGCTTAAAAAAAAAAATGTTCTATGGTTCAGGTGGTGTACTGTTTCATTGTTATGAAAGCCCATGTGAACAACAGCTACATTAGAAAAATTCACAACAACACAACACTAATTGTGAGAAATGTGTTCGTTTTTTACTTGAAAAATAATTATTGTTTCTTTGGTAAAAAAATCTTTGGAGACCCAGGGGCGGTCAGTTGAGTCAAAACAAAAAAAGGAACCGCGGCAAAAGTTTTCAGGGACGGCCGAGAGAGCCCTTGGGATGCTACTCTTGACAAAGCAGTTTAAGGACCTATTTGAATGTAATTAAGTAGGAAACAACTTTTTTTAATGAGGGTAACACATGATAGTAAAAACTGTTGAACTAGTCGCCCTCAATCGTAATGAAAATATTTAGAACTAATAAAATAAACACGACTAATTAAAATTTAAAAATACTACAAGATAAGAAAAGCGATGTGTACATTAGAATAAAAAGATAAAAGACATTATAGATTAGACAGATGACAGTAATTCTGATCAACTAGTGGCCCTTATGGTTTGGCCCGGAAAAGCGTTTATGACCAACAAGAGGCTAGTACTTATCGCGTTGGTCTCGCGATCTTCTTATACGAGGAAGCTTACCCGCAAACATCACTGTTCTCGTGCGTGCTTGGCTCTTGCAGGAGAGCTTTTTTTCAGCGAAAATGGAGCCCCAAGAAACGAAGAAATTCTATAATTTTCGGATTCAAGAAAAAAACTAACATGCTGATCGCAAGTTAGAAAAAAAAAACCGGAAGTTGCCTGGAAGTGAGCCTTTGGCCCTTGCGGCAAATTTGAAATAACTAACACGGGGGGCGATCAAGTCGATCTTATTCCAGGGGACATTCCTGGTGCTGGCTTTAGTGAAGAAGAGAGAGAAAAATGGTTAAATTTTTGGTTAAAATGGCGCCGTATAAATCAAAATGGTAATAAGAAGGAACTGTTGGAAACTAGGAAGTGTACATCATCCGGCTTTGTGTGATCGATCAGCTGTTTGTGTTGTTTATTTTTAACTAAAAGTTTACATCGTGGTTTAGACACCTGTTTTCATACAAAATTTGCTTTTTCAAAGTCAAGAACTAGGAAGTACGGAAAATCTAAAAGTATATGACCATGACCCTTAGAGGATCTTCAATATGTAAAGCAAAGTGAGCAAGACCGATTGAGGAACTGAGGGAAAATGAGGAAACCGCGAGTGATTATTCAAATTATTCTAGAAAGAATTATTATCCTTAAGACCCTGTTTACATGGAGTGGGGGACCCCGGTCTAGTGGGGTAGGTTTCTTTTGTTTTGTGTCCTCCAGAGCGTGAAAACAAAAGATGCCAACCCCACTAGACCGGGGCCCCCCACTCCATGTAAACAAGCTCTTAAAAGAAATTGGTATGGTTTTTGCGCCATTTTGGTTTTGAAAACGGTTTTAGGCCATTTTGATCTGAAATCAAGTATAGTTTTCGAGGGAGCTACGATGGTGTATGAACATATATATCGATTGGTTCCAAAATGAATAAGACATAAACTCGTAGCATGCATGCGAATTCCAAATCAGTTTTAAGAAATCTTTTTATTGGCGTTCTAATCATATCATTCTAACCATACTGTACAGTGCACCACCAAGAAAAATCCATGTCTTCAATGGCATGTAAAATTTCGTCTGATAAGTACCGAATTGCCTTATAGACCTGATAGTGTGAGATCGATCTACAGGAGCTCCATATAAAGTAATTGTTTTTGTTTGTTTGTTTATAGCTGTGGTTTCCCTCCATGTAAGATATGTGTTCGGGATACCGGAATCAAAGAAACAATTTGCTTGTGGAATGCGAAATCGCGGGATTTTGAATCTGTGATTCTACTCGAGGAATCCGAGATCCTTCTAATGATTGGAATCTGCACCCTAACTGCCATGGTTATGGTGTTCAGATCGCGCTGTTCAAATTTTCGTCCGTACCAGCTAAAAATTTGACCTAGGTTGTGGCGTTCAAATTTTTGACCGGTTCTGTTAACAGATCTCCTAAACGCACGGATATTCAACTGGTCTAAAATTTGTCCTCCATTTGTCCGGTGCCATGTGAATGAAGTTTGCATCTAAACCTAGTCCCCAGAAATTTTCTCTTTCAAAAGTTTACAATTCTCTCAATTTTTCTACAAAATATATTGAGATCCCTCATTGCTGTTAAGCATTCTATTTTTTCAGAGTCAGATGACGTAAAACTTGGTTCGGCTGCCTGAGGAAATACGAGAAAAAAATCAGCCACATCAGTTCAACGAGAGGTAGCTTTATTTGTTGTAATACTGGGCCAGATTATTCTAGATGCAGATTATCTTTTTGTAGAAAGAAATTGGGCACGGATTGTACTCTATAAAGATGCTGTTAAACTTAATCTCCAATAAACGAGCATTAAACCACAGGGGGCGTCTTCCGAGAATAGGTTTATACATCTTCGTTTTTGGCAGAGCAAAGAGTTAATACAGCTGTAGACCTTATTCACGATACCCACCATCTTCGCACGCGCTTTAGGATTGACGGGATAAAAGCAAATTTCACGTGGTACTTCAGGGGGGCAAACAAACGATAAAATTTGCCGTTGCGAGAAATCGAGGTCCACTTTGTTTATTATCTGAAAACGAAACAACGATTTAATAGTCATGCAAAATGTACGGTTTGAGTTTTGAAAAAATTAATGTCATTATTGTTGCTACGAGGACATCTTCGGTCGCTAATGCACTAAAAAAAATAACAATGATCACTTCCACCCATAATTTGCCATTATCGCCTTTAATATAAAAATTTATTCATTTTCTGTTGTCAAGAATAAACAAACTTCTCTGTGATTTCTTGTATTGGAAAAATTTATCACTTGTTTGCCCCCTGAGAAACCATGCAAATGACATCACTTTTTTACCCCATCAGTCCTTAAAAGCGAGTATTGCATGCAATCGTTAAGTTACGTATGCGTGTTGTTCCATGTTGTTAATGGCATTTCTTCATATACTCTGAGTGGCGTGGCAAATACAGCGAACATAGAGTGGTCGAGCTTCAAGTGGTCGATTACAAGGGGTCAAAAACAGCGGAAAACAAGAGAGGATAAAGGGGACAGAGAAGGCATCCCCCATACACACCCTATTCCATAGGTAATTCGTCTCGAGTTATTTTTAACACCACAGATCTTAAGGGGGATTAGACAACAGCCAATCACATAGCGCGAATGTGTTCCGCGTGGATGACCCACGCTCAGAGGCACGCGTTCTTCACGAATTGACGTAGAACAAAATGGCGGAAGACGCGGAGAGCGATATTGCTATTCGTTTTGTCGACGAAAACGACTACTGAGAGATTTCTGCTAAAGCTGTGTCAGCGAAACGGAAATTAAGAAAGAATCACCCTTCCTCTCTTGTACAGTGCTAACAGTACAGCAGGGAAATCCTTAACACACTGAATATTTTCTCTCAGGATCATTTACAATTTACAGTTTGAAGAGAGCAATTTCTGGTTTGATGTTTATTCTTTTATTAGTCTTTTATTATTCAACGAAAATAACAATTGGCGTCCTACTTGCTTTATTGTACAAATAACCGGTTTCAATTGGCTGGCAAAATTTCTCATTTTATTAAAGCACGACAAGTTCGAGTTAAACTGATTTCAGAGTTGTCAAAGAGTCAAGCGATTCCTTTTTCCCAGGTGAGCGCCGACTCATTTCGCGTCAATATTCAGGAATGCTCTCGATCTCTTTACGCTTTCATTGCCTTTCGCCCGACATGTTTTGCACGGCGTTTAGTCATGCGAAACCTCCACGAAACATCCACGCAGCGCGCGAGGTAACTTTATCCCGATTCTAAAAATAACTCGAGACGAATTACCTATGAAATAGGGTGTGTATGGGGGATGCCTTCTCTGTCCCCTTTATCCTCTATGGGCGGAAAACTATTAAACCATGCAGCCAAAAGGTGGTCGCGGTCGCTTATAAGGGATGGTCGTTTTTATAGGGCTCTGACTGAGAAAATTTTGGTAGTTTAGATATACATGGTCGGTTAGAGGAGGATGTCGTTTGCAATAGAGATGGTCGCACGTGAAGGTTCGACTGTAATGTTCGTTGTATCTCGAAGAGATCATCTGAAAATAACGTACCTGACTGTTTCGACACCACTGTTGAAGATGCAAGCAGCATAGAGGACGGTGAGGGTGTTTCAGGCGTGCTTTTATCTATTGCCAGAGTATTGCTCACTACAACAAATGACAAATGGCTTTGATGCAAGCTGCTTAGAGAAACAGCTGATGATAACAACAGCCATGAAGACACGGAGGGCAATACGGATGTACCTTGCTCGAAAGCCCAACTCGAACTCATTGCCACAGGTGAAGATTCACTTCTGGATGGACGGCTTAAGCGAGCAACTGATTTTGACACAACAGGCAATGATGACACCAGCTTAGACGACCCCAACGGCAATGGGGGTGTCGCCATACTAGAGCTCAGTGCCACAAATGACGAACTGCTCATGGCAAACGTACTGGAATGAAAAACCTTTGAGGATGACATCGAGACAGGAGACAGTGAAGGTACTGTGGCTGTATGTTGGCCTGCCACAATAGAACTCATTGCAATTAATAGGACACTACTCGCCTTACTGCTTGAATGGTCTGAGGATAACACTGCAGGAGATGCCATCAACACCCAGGTACAGGTAGCTGTTATTAAATACAATAGACATAAGTTTTGATACTGTTTGTACATGTGGTGGCTCAATTTTAATAATAATAATAATAATAATAATAATAGTAAAATAATCATAATCATAATCATAATTATAATAATAACTTCTTCATTCATTCGATACAACACATATTTAACGTCACATAAATTTTAAAAAACATTAATTAAGGCGCTTACAGCAGGAATTTCTCATATTGCTAACTCATATTTGAAACTAAGCCTATTTAAAAAACTACTTTTAAACCGTTATAAAAGTGGTTTAAATTTCAAATTATATTTCCCTTGGTTTTAGGGTATGGTAATTTATGAAATCATAATGAGTTTGAAACAATGGAAAATATATTTAAATCAAGTATAAAATTGAGCCACACAACATAATTATATAAAAAAAATCCAGAGTGTAAATGAAACATTTAAATACAAGTGATAAGAGCAGTTGGTTAAGTAACTTTTAAATCTACTTGTAGTTACAAACTGAAATCAGAGCTCCAGAATGAAAAATATCGCCCTATGTAAGGTAATCCAGATTCTAGAATCCTGGAATTTTATGCTCGTAAAAACAAGAATCCCAGGCATCGGAACTCGAAATTCAACTTAAGGAATCCCGAATCCCACTAATATTGGAATTTGGAATCAAAGTTCCACTGAAAACGAATCCGGAATCTACAGCGTGGAATCCAGAATCCCAGACATTAATGAATTGCCTTTTTACAAGAGGCAATAAATCAGCCAAAGCATTCATGGTTTTGCGGTTTGAAGACCTTCTTGCACGACCAGAATAGTAAAGCAATTACGGACAAAAACAAATACTGACAATGCTGGAAATGCCAGATTTCATAGGTTGTTGAAATGAGTTGAACGGGGATTTTCAAGGCTCGCGGAGTTATCTACCGAATGATTATAATCACAACCATCATGCTAAAACCGGAAGCAATAATTTTCGTTGTAGGTGTTGTGTTGCTCACCCTTACTTTTTAGCAAAACGCACAGAGCCGAAAAAAGACAAACAAACAAAAAACTTTTAACTTGCTCGAAACTTTTCAAAGGCTTTCGCCGATTGCCCACTCTAAACGTTACACCCAGACCAATCTTACACATTGGAAGAGTTAAAGCCCTCTATCTCTTTAAATATTTCTATAAGGATTGTTAAAACGACGCATTTCAGTGCTACTCAAGTAATAACAGTCCTATCTGCAAAATAACATCTTTTCTCCATAAACAAAAACTATTTTCTGTGAAAGTGACAATCACTCAAACATGCATATAAACTGTCTGTGTGAATTACAATACACAAAAACTTGCAACAGATGTGCTTAATAACAAACTTTTTAACTCTCTATCTTTATAGGCAAATCTTTGCTGACGTCATTAGAACATTTTTGCTGATTAGCATACGGGTAAACTCACAGAGGACGTCGTCGTATGTGCAAATTAGGTGCAAAAATTAAAAGAGCAGGTTATTTTGAGAAGTTTGCTCAATAATCGAGCAATCAATGAGAAGGGAAATAGCAGCAATCAAAAACTGCGAAATGCTAAACTCTCGACTTGTTGGAAGAGACTTTCTCCGAAATGTTTCGGTATATCGATCGGGCTCAAATGTTCAGAGATAACTGAAATGGTCATGCCCTTTCAATATTCAGTGATTTTATTTTAGTAGCTTGATCAGGGAATGAAACGGGTATGTTAATGAAAAAAAAAATTTATACAAAGATTCGCCTATAGACTCTATTAGCTTTTATGAAGAAGGTTGATTACTCCGGTACGAGCTCATGATTATGCTTGTCTTTAACAAACACGACAAAGTAACAAAATCACTGTCGTACTTGCGTTACATCAATTCTATTTGCTGATGACTTACTTAAAAATAGGAACAAACCACGAGCCCATTGCATTTTTTCCATACCTAAGTAGAGAATAATTTAAAGAAATATACAAATTAGAAACTTACCTATGTTCATGACAGATATATATAAACTGTGAGAGTAAACGGCAGAATGAGTTTGCGGAATGGCATGTGGCATGGCTTGCGGAATGACATAATTATGCGAAATGTAATACATGAAGAATAAAAGAAATAAATTAAACTGAAAAGTGCACCATATTTGGCACTGATCAATTTGCAAAAGCAGCTACTTTTTTGATGTCGCGGGCTCGACTACGATGACAATCAAAAAGCCACGAAGCTAGGTTTCACTCTCGATTGACCTTTTTTCACTCAGCTGCAAAGATTCTACTACTTGCATTAATTAGTCGGGCTGCAAGGCATTACCGATACTATATTACATCACAAACTCGGAGAATGAAGATAAGATGTTTTGGAAGGTCACGCTCCCTTCTGCTATAATTTTTTCTGCAAAAGATGTTTGCACGATTAACTTCACAGGCTTTGTTTTACCTTAATTTGTAAAGTAGAACCCCGATATCTTGAACTCGAGCTCCCCGCTAACTCGAACTAAGTCCAATTTCCCTTGGAATTCATCCCACTTTTCCTTTCACTTTACGCGTTTAACTCGAACTTGGATACCCGAATTCCTCGCTGACTCTGAAAACTAAATCTCCTTTCCTTTTCTTGACTCAAAAATTCGCTAAAATTTACCCCGTTGACTCGAATTCGGGTTCTTCTAACTCCACTCAGATGCCATCCCATTAGTTCTTCTTGTTATAGCGGAGCTCCACACGCGCGCGGAGCCCCATAGCTAAGTAATCCTACCCATTTCAGAAAATTTGGTGATCACGTGACCGTACACCGACCGCCTGAGCGACCGTCAGTCCTCACCACAGGCATACCAATGTAAAATAACTCAATCAACAGGTATGGCAACCCAAATGCAACTCGAGGTTATTTTAGCTGGAAATTGCATAGCCAGCCGAGAGATTTTCGTGGAAAAAAGCCGGCACCCGAGTCTTGTAAAGCAGAGACAACTAAAGAGTCAATACAGACGAAAACGGAAAGCGGAAATTGTTTCTGTATCCGTGTTGTCTAAAGTATTAAGCTTGGACTAATCGTCATGACCACAAATTTGGAAAATAGAGCAGGAGAAAGACAGAAAAAGAGACAGTAGGCGTGCCTCTCCCGTCTAGCGCCTTCAGTCACGCGCGTGGTCATTTGCGTGTCTCGGGCGTTTTGCTCGACGGACCAAGAAAAAAGAGAGACTGCTCGTAGTCTAGACAAAAACAGACCTAAACCCCATTTACACGCGCCAAAAAATCGGGACGGCACGCCAATTTTTTGGCACCGTGCTGACGATTTTAAGGCACGGCACTCCCAATTTTCGACGTGTAAACGTATCGGTCCCAAATGTAATGTGGCACCAGTGCTCAAAATTTTAGATTAAAACAGCGTATTTAACACATGTTTTTTTATCTACTGCAGCTTTTTATTAGGGGATTTTTGTACTGAAAATATCATAAAAAAAGATTGGTTAAGTACTGAACAAACCTCTTGCTAAAAAAGATCCTGGAGGTACCTTTTTGCAAATCCGGACAGACATATATATATATATATATATATAAAGTAGTTTCCGTTACTCTAGGGCAGTTCTTTGGAATAGCCTTCCTATTGAACTGCGGCAGGCCAACTCTCTTAGGGTCTTCAGGATCTATCTAACTGGCACTTACGTAACGCAGGCTCTCGTCTATGTACTTGTAGGTTTTTAACATAATTTCAATGTATGAAAGTAGTTTTAGACTTATAAAAGAAATAGTGTTTTAAGTACTGACGAGTTGACTGTGTTTAAATCAAGTTATTCATTCATTAATACTGATATGGCTCCAATATTTGTGCTGTAATTGTAATTGTTGATACGGAGGCTTCGGCTGATCAGTCTAAAACATAACACTATATATACGGAAAACTCAGGAAAATGAATATCCCTAAGTCATAGTACAGTATTTCAGTGTGTTCACCATATCCGTTTTCACTTTAGCGCATTAACGCTAATCACGGCTGCGCCAATATATTCAGATAATCCGGATTGATTTTAGTATGAACTTGGTATGAATTTACCGGAAATGCTTGTCGTTACAGACTTAGGTCTTAGTAAGAGTAGGGTGTCGTGTCACCATTTAACACAGCAAACGTCTTGAGATGGGTACAAATCGGCATTGAGATGAGCTAAATGGATACTGAGGTTTAAATTGAAATTATCGTTGTAAGAATTGAAATGTCACGTGACAAGTTATTCAAATAAAAACCGCTCATTCAATCCCAAATCTTAAGAATGTGTTTAAAAGTGCCTCCATTTTATTCTGTAAACAGGTTGAGCTGAGTATAAAGGGAGATGAGAGATGAGATAAATGTACAGCGAGGTTTTATTTGAAACGCATTTGGCGCGAATTGCAATGTCACGTGACTAGTTTATCCTATGCTGGCTATAGCCAAAATGCTTATCTGAAGCTCAAGTCTTCCTAAACTTATGGTGTTCGGGTCTTCCTTTCACACTGTAAAATATAGTATTAAAATGCATATTTTTCCTGTCACCTCTCACACTGTTCAAGAGTCAAGGCTAAGGGTAAATCTCATGAACTGCCCATGTGCGAGCTGAAGCGCAACGCTTGAAAAGTGAATTTTTCAAGATTAATCTGGCTAAAACAAGATGACGCTCACTGGACCACAAGTTGCGGAGCCGGCCATGGTAGTAAAAGATAGAATTCGGGTCGCAAAAGGACGATTTTCCCAGGCAGTATGAAAGGTTGTTTTGAGAGAC